ATATATATATATACACACACACACATACATATATACACACACATACATATATATATATATGATGGTGGCCATATTGGATTTTTGACGGGCAACCTAATTTTGAATAGTACCCTTTCTTACTCCTATACGCAGCCACACAGCAAAAATGAAGTCTGTACCTCACTTATTTCCAAGTTCTACAGTTGACAAGATGAATGAATGGAGGGTATTTTTAAGTCCCCTCTTCTCTCTACAACTGGAGATCCAAAACACCAAACATCACTTACCTTCTTTGGATTTTTGCTCCTCGGGAACTTCTGCAATGAGGCATTCGAAAAAGGAGTTCTGGCAAAAGCCGTCACGCTCCAGCTCTGAAGTCACACAAAGAAAATTCACCAACCATCTTTTTATAATGAACAATAATGATGATTACGCTACTATTTCACATCTTGGTTGTTTTATTTCTTAATCTACAGGTTCTATTTATTTACCAAAACAGTCATAAGGGTAAAGCATATACTTCAACTGTGCATTATAAAGATTTAAAGACAAACTGATCATTGAGAAGTTTCACACGATTTCACTGCAAAATGACATTTGTATTATAGCTTCAATCTTTGCGATTGACATGTTTTATTGGGAACTTAGAAAACATTTTCAGCCTGTGAGAAAACAACATACAGACCCTTTCCAAAAAATATGAATATCATGGAAAAGTTGATTAACTTCCATAATTCCATTCAAAAAGTTAATCTTTAATAGACGATAGATTCAGGGCCCACAATTTAAACAATTTCAAGTATTTATCTGTTTATTTTTATATAATTTGGGCTTCCAGCTCATGAAACCCACGAAAACAGGAATTCAAAAAATTAGAATACTGGAGAGGGGCAGCACGGTGGCGCAACTGGTAGAGCTGCTGCCTCTCAGCGAGCAGGTCCCTGGTTCAAACCCCAGTCCGGGGGCCTTTCTGGGTGGAGTTTGCATGTTCTCTCCGTGCATGCGTGGGTTTTCTCCGGGTACTCCGGTTTCCTCCCACAGTCCAAAAACATGCATGTTAGGCTGATTAGTAACTCTAAATTGTCCCTAGGTGTGAGTGAGAGAGTGAATGGTTGTTTGTCTCGTTTGTCTCTATGTGGCCCTGTGATGGACTTGCGACCTGTCCAGGGTGTACCCCGCCCCTCGCACAGTGATTGCTGGACATGGGCACCAGCGACCCCCGTGACCCAAAATGGAATAAGCGGGTAAAGAAAATGGATGGATGGATGGAGAATACTGGAGAAATCAGCCCAAATTTTGCAGGACATGAATGTTTTAAGTGTGACACTAATCATCTACTAAACTCAAAGCACCTGCACAGGTTTCCCCAGGTGTCATTAAATTGCTTCAGATTGGTTCAATTTTCTCAGTTCGTTTCAATATGGAAAGACTGCAGACAACAACTGGCCAGAAGACCATCCCCTCCATAGGATGGGTAAGCCACAAAATTACATAGCTAAGGAGGCTGGCTGTTCACAGAGTGCTGTGTCCAAGCATATCAATGGAAAGTCTAGTGGAAGGGCAAAATGTGGCCGGAGAAGATGCACCAGCAAAATAGATGACGGTGGGCTTCAGCAGATTATCAAACAGAGAAGATTCCAGAATCTGGCAGAGATCCAGAAAGAGTGGAATGAGGCGGGAGTCACAGCTTCAAAAATCATCACATTTGGACGCATCCAGGAGATGGACTACAGCTGTCGGGTTCCTCGGGTCAAGCCACTTCTGAACCAACATAGGAAGCATCTCAACTGGGCCAAGAAGAATGGCTGGACCGTTGGCCAGTGGTCCAAGGCATAGGCGTCGCAACCATTATATGTGAAGGGGACGTGTCCGCCCACATAAAAAAAAACTTTAATTTGGGCACCCCACCCACACACACACTTTTACTATAAAACATTAGTTCAGTCGATGCCGTTTCTTTCTTCATGAACAAACCCATTCCACTTGATTAATAAAATACTCGCCCTGTGATGGACTTGCGACCCGTCCAGGGTGTACCCCGCCCCTCGCACAGTGATTGCTGGACATGGGCACCAGCGACCCCCGTGACCCAAAATGGAATAAACGGGTAAAGATAATGGATGGATGGATAATAAAATACTCCAACCACTAAAAGTCCACTCCAGGTTTTCCTGGTTACCTCCAACTCTCCAGCTTCCAGCAGCATGCAATGTTTCTGTACGTCTCCTCCTGCCTCGGAGGAGGAACGCTCACAGGTGGAGACACCTCTGTGTTGATCGCTCACCAGTTTAACAAGTTTAGCGCGGGCAGTTGTGGACAGAGGGGTTGAACATAAACATATATTCATGTTAGGATGATGCTTGAGAAAGTGGAGCGCTACGTCAGTAGCATGTTAGCTTAGCAGTAACTGTGAGACGCTGCAGGTGTAAGAGACGCTGTGTGTTCAGGTGCATTAAAGTTGAAATGTCTTTAAAACCCCACACCTTATTGTCCTCAAGCTTTGATAGAAGCATCATTTAGATGAGTAGTGTTGAACACAAGTAAAAAAGTCCAGTGGTGATGGTTTTTTATTTGTCTATAAACACAAATGTGTGTTAAAGTGCATTAAAGTTTAAATGTCTTTAAAACCCACAGCTGAATTTACACACTTAGTGAGAAACATGCTTTAAAAGAAATTAAAGTAAGGAAATCTAGATGAAATGTTGCTTTTTTTGTACCCTGGTGCACGTGCACACACACGCGCGCGTGCATACACACACTACAGTGTCGTCCCCCCCACATTAAAGATGCTTCTGATGCTCATGGTCCAAGGTCCTCTTTTCTGATGAAAGTGTGTCTTTCATTTGGAAATCGAGGTCCAAGGGTTTGGAGGAAGAAGGCTGAGGAACAGAGCCCATACTGCTTCAGGTTCAGTGTGAAATATCCACAGTCAGTCGTGATTTGAGGTGCAATGTCTGATGCAGGTGTTGGCCAAGGTCACCGCAACAGTCTACCAGAACGTTTTAGAGGACTTCATGATTCCTTCTGCTGAGGATCTGTATGGAGATGCAGATTTCATCTCCCAGCAGGACCTGGCCCCTGCCCATGCTGCCAGAAGCACCAAAACCTGGTTTGATGCCCATGCCACAGTGCTGGACTGGAGAGCCAACTCGCCAGACCTAAACCCCACTGAGAATCTATGGCGTATTCTCAAGAGGAAAATGAGGAGCACCAGACCCAACAACAAAGAAGAGCTGACAGCAAGCATCAAGGAAATATGGGCTTCCATAACTCCCAGTCAATGCCACAGGCTGATTGTCTTAATGCCACATCACATAGAGGCTGTGATTAAGGCAAAGGGATTACCACGAAGTATTGAAGATTGACATATCGTTTTGAAAGTACCATATTTGGATTGATTTGTTGTCATCCTAATTTCTTTCTTTTTTTTTCTGCAAAAACTGAGAAGTGTGGGCTGATGTCTTCAAAGTATTCTAATTTTTTTTTAAATCCTGTTTTCATGGGTTTCATGAGCTGGAAGCCCAAATTATGTAAAAAAAACAAACAAATAAATACTTGAAATTGTTTAAATTGCGAGTCCTGAATCTATCATCTATTACAGTTTAACTTTTTGTAAAGGGTCTGTAATGGATGCATTATTTAAGGAGGTGCTCCAGTGAAGCATCTTTACGATCAATGAATGAGTTTCCTTGTCAAATGTTTCTTTAAAGCCTAACTTTAAAAAGAATAGGCGTCTGTATCTGTTATCCTAACCTCACTAACTAAACATTGACCAACGTTACATCACTGGATCATACAGACAGCCCTCTCATACCACAGTACTACTCTGTGCATAATTACCCAAAATCAGCGGCAAAGTTTATAATATATAACCACGAGAAGAGAGTAAATGCTTTACACTTTGTTAAATGTGGTCTGAGAAATGTAAATTGATCTTTGATTATTTTTCCTGCAATGAACTTAAGGTAAGGGAAGAAACTACAACACAAAAATAAACGGATTGTGAGCAACTTGGTGCTCAAGAAGACATCCTTTAACCCTCCTGCTGCCCTTGGGTTAAAATGACCCAGGAGGCCTCAGTTTTAACCCAAGGGCAGCAGAGGGGTGTTTGTAAAGATTTCTTCAAAAGTAGTATTCAAAATATTAGTATTATATTATTTATTCTTGTCTGCTGTCATAAAACGAAAGGCATGGAAACCATTATAATATAAAGTGTTAGTTTTGGAGTTTGTCCTTGAAGCTTGGGTGAATTAAACTTTAGTGTTAGTGACATCTACTGGTTCATTTAAGGATGTGAAACTACAGCATTTATGGTAAATAAATGAATACAATGGGGCAAAAAAGCAGAGCTGCTGCCTCTCAGCGAACAGGTAGGTCCCTGGTTCAAATCCCGGTCTGGGGGGCCTTTCTGGGTGGAGTTTGCATGTTCTCTCTGTGCATACATGAGTTTCCTCCGGGTGCTCCGGTTTCCTCCCACAGACCAAAAACATGCATGTTAGTCTGATTGGTAACTCTAAATTGTCCCTAGGTGTGAATGAGAGAGTGAATGTTTGTTTGTCTCGTTTGTCTTTATGTGTCCCTGTGATGGACTTGCGACCCGTCCAGGGTGTACCCCGCCCCTCATACAGTGATTGCTGGACATGGGCACCGGCAACACCCGTGACCCAAAATGGAAGAAGCGGGTAAAGATAATGGATGTTTTGAGCAATGTTTTGGGGGTGTCGCTGGACAACAGACTTTCAACTCCCTCCACAAATGTTCTATGGGGTTGAGGTCTGAAGACTGGCTAGGCCACTCCAGGACCTTGAAATGCTTTTTACGGAGCCACTCCTTCATTGCCCGAGTGGTGTGTTTGGGATCATTGTCATGCTGGAAGACCCAGCCATGTTCCATCTTCAACGCTGCCACTGATGGAAGGAGGTTTTGGCTTAAAATCTCACAATGCATGGCCCCGTTCATTCTTCCCTTAACACGGATCAGTCGTACTGTCCCCTTTACACAATAACAACCGCGAAGCATGATGCTTCCACCCCCATGCTTCACAGTAGGCATCTTGTTCTTGGGATGTAACTCAGCATTCTTCTTCCTCCAAACACGACAAGTTGAGCTTTTAACAAAAAGTTCTAGTTTGGTTTCATCTGACAATATGATATTCTCACAGTCCTCTTCTGGATGATCCGTATGCTCTCTGGCAAACTTCAGACGGGCCTGGACTGGACTGGACATATACTGGCTTAAGCAGGGGGACATGGCTGGCACTGCAGGATTTGAGTCCCTCTCAGCATAGTGTGTTACTGATGGTAGCCTTTGTTACTTTGGTCCCAGCTCACTGCAGGTTATTCATCAGGTCCCTCGGTGTAGTTCTGGGATTTTTGTGCACCGTTCTCATGATCATTTTGACCCCATGGGATGAGATCTTGTGTGGGGCCCAAGATCGAGGGAGATTATCAATAGTCTTGTATGTCTTCCATTTTCTTACAATTGCTCCCACAGTTGATTTATTCACACCGACCTGCTTTCCTATTGTAGATTCACTCTTCCCAGCCTGGTACAGGTCTGTAATTTCCTTCCAGGTGTCCTTTGACAGCTCTTTGGTCTTGGCCATGGTTGAGTTTAGAGTCTGTTTGAGGCTGTGGACAGGTGTCTTTTATACAGATAACGAGGTCAAACATGTCCATTAATACAGGCAACGAGAGGAGGACAGAAGAGCTTCTTAAAGAAAAACGTACAGGTCTGTGAGAGACAGAAATCTTGCTTGTTTGTTACTGACCGAATACTTATTTTCCACCATAATTTACAAATAAATTATTTTAAAATCCTAGGCTACAATGTGATTTCCTGGATTTTTTTTCTCATTTGGTCTCTCAGCTGAAGTGTGCCTATGATGAAAATGACCTCTCATCATTCTAAGTAGGAGAACTTGCCCAATCAGTGGCTGACTAAATACTTTTTTTGCCCCACTGTAAATCCCAGCATTGTCTAATGAGGTATATTATTATGATGGTTAAATGCCAACGACACTGGTCAACTTTTAAACAAGGAAAATGTTGTTTCATATTTAGTCGCTCATTGTTTACCTTCATGAGATATCTTCACTTGGTCGGGCATTTTTTCATAAACAGCAAGCTCCTGTGGAAAATTGTAATCTCATTATATGTGAAAACATGAGACCAACCACTGATGAAATACCGTAAACTACATGTGGTAACACCGAACAATAAAAAATACAGATTTAGCCTTGAAATTTAGCTAGCGCTAACACGACTCACCATTATCATCCTACAAATGTCTTTGCAGTCGTCTTTTGTTGCAGCTCGAACTTTAAAATTCATGTCTGCAGCAGTAGAAACTTTAATATTATTATTTTATTTTATTTTTTTTAGTTCGGCAGCCTGAAGTCTTCGCTTTCTTCTGCAAGAGCGTGACCGGAAGTGGTCGCTTGAATAATTTCTAAAATGCAAACGTAACTTTTTAATATTTGAATTACGTAACTTAGCTTTTTACAGTTACCGATAAAACTAATTTATATTCATTTTGAATATAAAAATCAACAAAAAAGCAGGAGTAAAAGACTAAAAGACTAGAGTTGAACACTTTGAACGGACCCTGATTAACGGAAATAGCGGCGATGACCGCGACGCATGGTTTACGCATGCGCACAAATTCCCCTATATTTTTTTGGATTTGCGCACTTAAACAATTAAAATCCAAACAATTTAGTTATATATATATATATATATATATATATATATATATATATATATAT